ATGAACCCATGGATACCCAGCGGGTTTTACCCCGGGTTTTTTACGGATAAACCCATGGATTTGGTTTTGACAAAACCCGCCCCGACCCATTGCCATCCCTATCTATGATTTAGAAAACCCCAAAACAAAATAAAAGTATTAACAACAACAAAAACAAAAAAAAAATAAAAGGTGGGGCATGCGTGTCCCTCTCTCCTCCTCCTGCCATCCCGCTCCCCTCCTCCTCCTCCCCCCCCCTTTGTCGGGTTGTGGGGGGAAACCCACCCAAAAACTTCCAAAAAACCCTACTTTCCCTTTTTTAACGCCCTATAGTGAGTATCCAGGAGGAAACTATGCTTCTTTTTTCCTTTTTTAACCCACCATAGTTAATAGTCTTAAGATTACAATGTTTATCATTGATGAAAAGTTATAAGAATTTTGAAAATGAAAAAATAATTTCGATGTCACCTTAATATCATATGAAATTCAGCATTTAAAATAATTTAATTTTTTTAAATATAACTAAAATATACATTGTAATCAAATGACATTCCTATCAACAGTCAGACAATAGGCTAGTAACTAATAAGGTTGTTGTTTGCCAATCCATCCATTCGCCTCGTCCCCCACAACTATATATATTTTTACTCATCAGTGTGATCTACAATGTAGTCATACGGTTGTGTTGTCTGAAGCTATAAGTAAAATGAATGCTTTTAGTGAAATGCCGCGAACTAATCAATATGCTCTGTCCTAAAAAATAAATAAAGAGAAGAGGATGATTCGAATAATACTAAACAATTCCACCCCACAATCCCAAAATCCTAATTCCGTCCCTGTCCGTGACTACCTTGAACTATGAACTATACAAGGGTAAAGAAAAATCCAGACAAAGTTGTTCCTGTTTGAATTGCCTTGTTTGTCAGTCTTCCCTAAAGGTATATACTTATAGCAAAACATTTTTGCACTTATATTTTTAGGTAATGGAAAATTTTAATTAAGAACAATAAATAATATTTTTAAGAAAACAAGTACAGTAGAAGAAGACATAGCCTCATAAAGCACAAAATTAAGTCACGAACCATATAGGGAACCTACACAACATGCGAAAAGGATTCCTGATGACACTCTATTTATAGTACTCATCACTCTTATATTTTATACATTTTCTTTTGAGTAATGTCTATTTTTTATCCAATCCTTTTTTAGATTCTTTTATATTATCCAAACCTATCAAAATACTAAGAATTAGCCAAATATTAACTTTCAGTTAGCTATTTTGTTAGTAATATTGACTTGGCAACATTATACTGACTTGGAAGAGACACATGAAGGTCAACATTGCAAAATTTTAGTATTTTAACTAAGAAAAGAGTTACAAAAGTATTAACGATAATGTAAAAATGGCTAATATTTTGATGCATTATGAAATATTTGGCTAATTAATAGCATTTTAGTAAGTTTGGATAATATAAAAGAATCTGAAAAAGATTTGGATAGAAAATAGACATTACCCTCTCCTTTTCTATCAATTAATGTTTAGTACTTTCTCTTATATTTCATAAGTAAATAAAAATTATTTGATCAAGGGGTATTTAATAGACCTAGGTTGTATTTTTGTACTTTTGATGCCTTCGCCGTGTGTTTTTTTAATGGTTTTCAAGGTACAAAGCAACCCTGAATTTTTTTTATAAAACATTGGACAACTATGGAGAACATTTAACGTAAAGCTTCCGTAATAACATTTTACAACTGTTACATAAAATACACATCAATAACGTAAGGCTACTGTAATGACAGTTATTTCTTAAATAACAGTTAAATCAGAAGCATTACGTATAGAGTTTTCGGCTAGTGATATATCTAGGTCTCCCTCTGATTGCTGGTAAGCTTTCTAGTCATGAGTGTAGTGTTTTTAATGAAAAAATTACAAGCATAATTCGTAGCTAGAAGGCCAGTAGGCTATCGTATCCAGGAAATATACAATTGGTTGAGGCAATGCTTCATTCTCTAATACACTACTGGATGACTATTTTCCTTCTCGCAAAGAAGGTTTTGAAAAGCATTCAAAAAATCTGTTCAGATTTTATATGGCATGGAGAGGGGACAGGGCGAGCTAAGGTTGCATGGGATTTCTTGGCTTTTTCCAAAAGAGAAGGGGGACTGGGGGTTAAAAGACATAATTTGCTGGAATGTAGCATCACTAGCCAGGTTAATCTGTCACGCTACAGGCTCAGAGGACTCACTGTGTGGGAATCCAGGGTTACCTCTGCAGCATAGAATGATGTTGAATGCTGATGGTTCTGTTTCTTGGCTTAGTAAAAGGATGGATAGATTTTCAGTAGCCACTGTTTGGGATACAATCCGAAGAAAGAAACCAAGAGTGGAATGGTGGAAGGTGGTTTGGTGGAGCAAGCATAATCTGCCTAGGAATCGGATACTAGTATGGCTAATTATTCTGGACCGCATTGCTACCAGAGATAAACTAAAAAGTTGGGGGATTATTATTGATAGTTTATGTGTTCTATGTGGATTAGCCGAGGAAAGCAGGGAACACCAATTTTTTCAGTGTCATTATATGAAAAGATCTGGTGGCTGCTATTCTGAAACGCAAAATAAATGTCCCTCTTGTCTGGTCTGATATGCTTGATCAGGTGATTAGCAGGATTGCGAATGGGAATAGTGGCACTACTGAGGCCTCGATTTGGTGTTGGATCATTTGCTTTCTTTGGAAGGAGCGCTGCAGAAGAGTTTTTGGGGATCTTCCATGATCTCCAACTGTGTTGGTTGAGATTTTGAAGGAGGAGCTCAGGCTATTTTGTCATATAGATCCTTAGTTACATAGTCAGATTCAGAAATCTGGAAACTGTTGCCTTAGCATAGTTTAGCCGTTTTCCTATATGTTACTTTCCTCTTAAGGACTGATGTAGGCTTTTAGCCACTCTATTTTTCGAACCCTTGTGTGGATTTGCCAAGGGGGTGCTTAATAGAAAACTGCTAATTACTGGGGAAAAAGAAGCATTACGTAAGGCTTTCGTGATGACATTTTAAAATAGTTACCTTACTTCAAGGCATTGTAGGAATTTCCAAAACTATATTTAAAAAGGCTACTGACCATAACTAATGGAATAAAATAAATGAAAGAGATCGACTTTGTTTCTAGACACTTAATCTAAGGCATATTTGTTGGAATTTTGAATGGTGTGAATCGGAATGAAAGGGAAGGATTCAAGAGAAGTTTTTAAAGTACCACGCTAGTGAGATATGGGAAGACGAGACATCGGATTTGGTAGATAAGATTAGATTAAATTATTGAGTAATTGGTCAATTTGGTCTATGTAACCAATCAGACAAAATCGAATCGATCGATTTAGTTGTCGGAATAAACCAACCGGTCCGACTATCATGGGTCGGACCGAAGCAGTGATAGGAAATTTTATAGTGAGCCATTGCAATAGTTGGGGTGTAACTACTCACACGAAGAGTCATATCCTTTCACATAGACCCCTTCATTTCGTATAAATAGCAGCAAGCCCCTATGTTTTGGATTTTCTTCCAAACTACCATCCTTTAAAAAGAAATTACAAAAGTACTACCCAATCCAACAAAATTCCAAAACTAGCACCAAATCCAACCGTGCGGGCAAAAGGCGGTTTACCATTCGGTAGCTGCAAAACCGCACCTCTACGTGGCAGTCCATGCAACCGTGCGATGGGCAAGCTATCCGACGGCTAACCGCCTGCCAGCGGAGCGATCCGCGTTGCCCACTAATAACCGACGCGGTTTTCGCATCGAGAAAAGAAAATTGTGTGCTGGAGAGGCGGTTTTTGGCGGGGTAAAAATATCAAACCGCCCCTCCACCATGCGGTCCTCCACCTATAAATACCCACCCCCTTCCTCTCATTTTCTTTTTTCTTCACACCAAAACCAATCTCCTCTCTCTAAGTTTATCACTCTACCCATCTCCCTCTCTAACCAATAACATTGGAAGTAGTGGTTTGTTGGTTGCGGCTAAGTCCAATCTGCCTTCAAAAAACTTTTCTTAGGTTTTCATTAAAAATCCGTCGAATCTCTGTCCAGATCCTGAAAAAATGGCCGATATTTTCGAAGAAGAGGGTATTTACTATGATGACTATCAAGCGGTACGTACTCATTTTATCTAATTTTTGTTGTTCTTGTAATGATTTTATTTAATTTATATACTAATTGATTTATGTTGTTGTTATGCTATCGTAGGTTGGGACGGATGTTGATATATACAATTAACGATATTATGTTGATCAAGGACCGATTGATCCGACATTTTATACGACCAATCAAATCATCGTTCAAGGGAGGTTTGGAACGACCAAAAGGTACATATTATTTATCATCACTTGTAATTTTTATTTTGTTAACGTAATTTATTTGTTTGTAAAATAAATTACTTAATTGTTAATCGTATTGATTGTTTTCACTAATTTAAATCAATACAATACAACAGTTATTTATACTCTTTATAAAGAAATGCATGTATAAGGAAATGGGGTCATAAGCGATCATCATGATCCTCCCATTTCCTAGGTAAATCGGGGTCTAAGCGATTCTCGGATCTCCCCTTTTTCTGTCAAACAGACTGTGTTTCTAAGAAGATGTATACCTCTCCTAAGAGTCTTACAAGTGTACTGGTATTGCTTTAAATTATTGAAAACAATCAATACTTAGTACAAAAAATATATATATTATTTGTTGTGTATGTGTACAAAAATAATTTTACTTAAATTTTGAAAATGGTATTTATTTTAGTTAATTATCTTAGTTAGCTTAATATTAATGTTTATTAAATCATTTATATTTCTTGGAAACAACCTTGATTTCATTAATTAATATTGTTTGTTATAATAGATTTATATATGTATATATCATAAACTTATAGTGAAAGTTAAATTCTCACTAGGATGCATACCATATAGTTCGCTATAGGGGTACGACGAATGTGCTTGAATGGAACGACGTCATCTTGCCCTTTCTAAAAGGGCAGGATTGGATCCCATTAGGCACTTTAATGGAATAAAGATCGACCGCCAACTCATCACAACATGGGCAGAGAGATGGCGAAAGGAGACACATTGCTTCATTTTTGTGAAGGCGAGTGCACCATCACACTTAAGGACATCGCCATTCTAACCGATTTGTCCATCGATGGCGATGTTATTTGTGTGGACTCTACTCCACCAGGTAAAGCCAATATGAGTGGTTGGCAGCATTTCATATGGATCGTCATAGGGTTGTGTCCGCCAGAAAAGGGAGATCACGATGCGGATGGTAATCCACCAATGTCCAAGGGCCAAGTATCCATCACTTGGTTGACAGCGAAGATCCGGCGTAAGCACAACCCTGAGGTCGAAGGCATTCCCCTCAAGGAGGAAAGTTCGGAGCAAGATAAAGAAATTTATGCATGTATCTACATCCTCGGCATGATCATAGGAGTTTTCTTCCCCAAAAAATCAAACAATTTAATAAAAAATTCATGGTTGAAGATCATATTTGGAGATTAGGATGATATGGGGAACCTCTACTTGCCTAGCTCATCTCTACCGCTCCCTTTGTAATGCTAGTTCGAGAGCGGTGAAGGAGATTGATGGGGCCAAGTTCATCGTCCAATTTTGGGTTTGGGAACATCTGGCATGGACGCGCGAAGGAAGACCCCGACAAGGATTGGGGACTCGACCATCCCCTACGACATGAAGCTTATGGTTGTAGGTAAACATCTTCGTTCCCACTCATAGTTCTCACCTTTTTTTTACTAATTCAGTATTTTATAGAATAATTATTATTATGTATTAACATTGTGTACTTTTTCATATTAATAGGTGGCTTGGGGAAACAACATGCGACAACCAAGTCGCGCATAAGTTGGAGGAGTATCGTAGGAGGCTGGATCATCTTTGGGAAGCAGAGGTAACCATCATAATACATTATTATTTCCTGTTCTATTTTCGACTAGCTTTAGTTTGTTTCTTGATGATCCATTTGTTCTGCACCTTCATAGCTTAAGATCGATCTGTATCCTGAACACATCGTCGCGCATCACGTCCACAAGTTCCCGTTGCATCCCGGTCAATGGTGCACCCGAGTCCCACTAATCTGCCTCCATATAGTGGATTGACACTTGCCGGATCGATGCCTACGACAATTCGGACGTGAGCAATGCCTACCATTAGAAGACACGGTGAGTCAGAGGGGATACCACGGGAAAGATGGCCAACAAGGATCTGCTAATTGGCCCAAGGAGTTTGAAGAATTGATCAATCTGTGGAATAATAGGCAAGATCAAGAGATTGTGATGACATCAGCTGTGGAGCGGATGGGGTACCATTACCCATACATGGAAACATACCGAAGACAATCTGTACGTTACATGACGCTCGAATGTGCGGCGGACGGAGCTTTGGTAAGTAATTCCGTAATATTAATTAATTTATTTACTTTGAGCATCAATATATGTAGTCATGCAAATCATTACTACATAAATGGCTAACGTTGTTATTTTCTGCGATTTAGGTTGATTGCATCGAGTGTATACACGATATCCCTCGTACTGCAGATTCTTTGGCGGCGGGGCGGGAGGTGGGGCTCATTCGGAGGATAGCGAACAGTCTCCATGGATGTGAGAGAGCGCGCGCCCGTGACCATCAAAAATACCCGCCAGTTCCCCCAGTCGCACCAGCTCCAGTAACGCAAGATGTCCCCATTCCGCCTCCGCCGGTCCATACAAGGCCAAACAAGGCTACGAGGGATCGACCTCACGTGCCCGAGATCTACCCAATTGAGGTGTGGAAGGTGCCTAATCCATTGGAGGTGTGCTAAGGTGCAGGGTCTGACAAGAGCACTCCACTTTTTTGGTCCTAAAGTTAACGGTTACTTCATGGCGATGACCCCCACGTCTCCCATCCTCCCAGTGCCCGGTCTAGACCGAATACTCGCCAGCATTTCGGTTCATAACAGTGACAGTGTGCCAAGAGCTCTTCCGATTATCTTTTTCCATTATTTCTGTGGCCTTATCGGAGTGTACCTTACCCTGTGCCTCCCTCTTCTCAGCCCAGTTGAGACGGTTGACGAACCATGCGTTCATTTTCCAGAATGTAATTGCTTACACCTAAAATATAATCTTGTACCACATTGATTATTTACAAGGCATTTATTATCTTTATAAGGCCAGATCATTAATGACAATTAATGTTATTTGAACTGGGCCTCATGATAATAGTTTTAAGCCCCAAGCTACTAAGTCTCCAAGAAGGAGCTAGTCTCGTTGCGAGTTGTAGAGCCCGCCGTGGTCGTGAGATCTAGACCGCGTTGGCCTCAAATTTAGAGCCCGCCGTGGTTTTGAGATCTAGACCGCGTTGGCGTCAAATTTAGAGTACGACGTGGTCGTGAGATCTAGACCGCTTGGCGTCAAATTTAGAGCCCGACGTGGTCGTGAGATCTAGACCCCATTGGCATCAAATTTAGAGCCCGACGTGGTCGTGAGATCTAGACCGCGTTGGCGTCAAATTTAGAGCCCGACGTGGTCGTGAGATCTAGATCGCGTTGGAATCAAATTTAGAGCCCAATGTGGTCGTGAGATCTAGACCGCGTTGGCGTCAAATTTAGAGCCCCGACGTGGTCGTGAGATCTAGATTGCGTTGGCGAGTTAGTTAGCATAAAAGGTCACAAACCTATTCACTTTGTACGAAATGGTCACAACTAGGGCTGGGAAACGGTGCGGTCTGGTCCAGACCAGACCATATACACGGTCTGCGGTCCAGACCGAGAGAGTAAAACAGAGACCATGGACCAGACCGTAACCTATACGGTCCAGACCAGACCACGCCTGTGCGGTGCGGTCCGGTACGGTCTAGACCGAGTAGACCATGTTCAACAAAACATGTGTTATCTAATGTTAAATATTAGTTAGTGACAAATAAAAAACACATTGACATCTAATCCGACAAAGTTCAAAAGTCATCATAACACCAACAATTTCAAGTCTACAACCCAACATAACATAAGATTAAGAATCAACAACATCCATAGTTCAATAAACCTCGTGTACTCCTTCCATATTTTCAACCTCAATTTTCCCCATATACGGATGTCCTCGGCATCTTGGAAGACCATAGTAGAAGCTGTTGGAGCTGCTGGGGCTGCTGGAGCGGCTACTGCTGCCCTGGAGACTGGAGCTGGAGGAGGCGGCATAGCTGCTGCTGAATCTCCATAAGTTCCAGAGCTATCTTCGTAACGAGCTCTTTTGCTGGCCTGAATAGGATTTAGCATTCTGGCCATTGAAGTTGAACTACTTCTACTCTTCTAGCTATGATTACATTGGAAACAACTCACAACCAACACTAAACTAGAATTGGGGGATTAATTAGAATGAAGTTATTAATTATTAGCAACTAACACCTCGACACCAACACTAAACTAGAATCTGGGTCATTAGTTGCAAGAGAAAGAATTTAATAATCCTTATTACCAATAAAGAACAAACACAAGGGAATGGAAGGCAATCGGCCACTATTAACATTATTACCATTCTCGATCGGTTGCAGCGGCCAGTCAGCAATGGCGAAGCCAATGGAAGGCAGGCGGAGGTCGAGGTTGATGGCGGAGGTCGATGGCAGAAGGCAACGAGCAGGTCGAGGTTTCCTTCTCGCCTCTCTCTTGCGAACTCTCTCGACGGAAGCATCAACCGGAATGCCCTCAGCTAAGGCCGCGACCTCGCGGCGTGGGATTGTCAAGGGTGGAGGTCGTCAGGTCATTGGTGGAGGTCGTTGACTCGATGGAGATCGTGGATTTTGACTCGTGCGACCTGCGACAGAGCTGCTGGAAGGCGAGGCGAGGAACAAGCGAATAGCTAGGTTTTCACTGGCGGAAGGCGAGCTGACTAGGTGATGTGGGCAGTGGGCCAGTGGCGATTGGAATTGGCAATTGGGCTTGGCTGGCGGGTTGCGAGTGCAGAGTTGGGCTCAGCCCAGACTTAATTTTGGTCACGGTCTGGACGGTTAACCATGGTCTAGACCAGATCAAACCGTTCCATAACGCAAGTGAAAGAGGCAAACCATGGACCAGACCAAAATGTATTAATGGTCTAACGGTCCGGACCAAACCGTACGGTACGGTCTAAACCGCGGTTTGTCATACGGTTTGGTCTAGATTCCCAGCCCTAGTCACAACCCTTTTATTTTGCACATTTTAGTAACATATGTTTGAAAGAATAACAAAATGGTCATTCCGTCCATCTCCATCCAAGAAAAACGTTAATTTCGTCCAGTCAACAAGCCACGTCACTTAAAATATTAATTAAAAATTAATGACCAATTGAACCGGACAGACCAACCAAAACACTAATTATACTCGGTAGTTTTTCACTCGACCCTACAAAACGATTCCACTCCCCAGGATCTCGCCCTCGAAATTTCTCCAGATCGCGTTGCCGGCCGAAACCAATGGAGGTTCGCTTCTCTGGGTAGTTGTCGTCTGCTTCTTTTTCCTCTCCTTTCTTCTGCGCATCATCCTCTCCTCCGGCGAAACTTAATGGATCTGGCGTTCATCACTGATTATAACTAATCATCAACATCATCAATAATATCTAACTAATCAATGAACCAATGAACTACTTATGAAGATTCTGCTACTTTGCGTTCTCCCAAAGAACAACAAGCACAAAAAAATTACAGAAAATCTTGTTAATTTCACCGTATTTTGGTTTCCAAAAGCTTTATATCTTGTCTAATTTGACCTTATTGTGCCTTCTAAAAGCAATGCGTTTATTTTTTCCGAAGCTCAATAGTTTTTAGGGGTTTGCTTTATCAGCAACTCCGTGTTCTCAAGCTGATGTTGCGATCACCGTCGCGGCTGTGCCTGCTATCCGGCGTGGTACCAAAGGTTAGTATCCGCTGTAGTACCAAAGGTTTGTCGCCGCACCGGCGTCTCTGCTTCCTCTCTCTTGCTGTCATTGTACGCTAGATAGCTTCTTGGGTAACTAATTGGGGTGTGTGGTTTTGCTATATAGGTGGGGAATTTTATTTTGGCTTGTTTTTCTTTATGATTTTTTGGAATCGATTTGAGCTAGAGTGATTCGCAGAGGTAGTTGTTCGATGGAGTGATTCCCAGAGGTGCACTGCGGCGACGAGAGATTTCTGAGGACAGAGTCTCCAAGATTTCGGGTGGTATAGAATTAGGGTTTTTGATTGGGCTGTTTGGTTCAATTGGGGTTTGGTTATTAATTTTTTTTATTTTTATTTTAAGTGAGATGGCATGCTGACTAGACGAAACTAACGGATTTTTTGGATGGAGTTTGACGGAATGACCATTTTGTTATTCTCTCAAACAAATGTTACTGAAACGTGCAAAATCAAAGGTTTGTGACCGTTTCGTACAAAGTGAATAGGTTTGTGACCTTTTATGCTAATTACCCCCACGTTGGCTTCAAATTTAGAGCCCGACGTGGTCGTGAGATCTAGACCGCTTGGCGTCAAATTTAGAGCCCGACGTGGTCGTGAGATCCTAGATCGTGTTGGCGTCAAATTTAGAGCTCGACGTGGTCGTGAGATCTAGACCGCGTTGGCATCAAATTTATAGTCCGACGTGGTCGTGAGATCTAGACCGCGTTGGCATCAAATTTAGAGCCCGACGTGGTCGTGAGATCTAGACCGCGTTGGCATCTAATTTAGAGCTCCGACGTGGTCGCGAGATCTAGACCACATCGTGAGAATAGACCATGTCCAAGACGAAAGTTCCAAGATGAAGAGCAGGCGATTAAGCGAGCAACTGCCGATTACCACACGTACAATGACACGTCAGCCACGTCCGAGAAAGAAAGGGAGCAGTTATTTTTGGAAGTTACTCTAAGATAGTTTTTCTACGAAGGTTATCATTTCAAGTCTATAAATAGGAGGA